AGGTGTAATGTAATTGATTGTCTATCAGCCTCACCATCGGAATTTTCATCCTCGCTATAAAAAATCATCAGATTGGGGATCAACTTTATATTATAAAATATTTAGAAGGTTAGTACAAAAATGAGAAAAAACCATTTAAGGCGGTTCCTTGGTGTTTTACCGATCCTTCTGTATGTCGTCCTAGTAATTCAATGCCCAGTGCATTTGATGATGTAGAATTTAATCAAGAGAAACTATTACAGGTATTTGCTTATCATTGGCATAATCAATGGGATAAACCAAAAGGTAGTCTTTTTAGATTCTTGGAACAAAGGCATGAGGATATTTTGGGATTTTAGAACATATAATTGTAACAAATAAAGATTATAATATGTGCCGATTACGGTTAATAAACGCAATTAATACAAATTATTTGAATAAATTGTATAATACTATTAATTATTGTACATGTCGATGTACATATCAGTGTGCATAATATTATTGCAAAACCATTTACTTGAATAAATTTTGATTACTATTTTATTAATGTTTTGCATAGAAATGATAGTACAACATTAGCTGTACATATGTTCCCAGGAAAAAAAAAAAAACGACTAATTTAATTAACACTTTATGGCTAAAGATTAATAATAAAAACTTGTCGCATTAAAAAAAAAAAAAAAAAAAAAGATTTTTAACGTAATAGCGTAAAACTGACCCAATATACGAAATAAAGCAATATTTTTACATTTCAATGCTACCCTCCATATTATTTTTTTTTCTTGTCACATACAAATCCAAAACTGCTTCATTATCAATGATACTTTCACCCTCATACCTCTCTTTTGCAACCATTTTCTTACATTCTTCCCAATTTTCCTCGTTTTTAATAACAAACGTTCTTTTACTATCAGAGGTATAATAAAGTGGAGGTGAAATTAATTTTGAATTCAAGCGCTCTCGTAACATTTCGATGAAATTTTTTAGTGTAGTATTATAAGACAGATCATAATGAAATCGGACTTTTTCATAATTTATTAAAGCCGGTATCTTTTTAAAGGATATAAAATATTAAAAATAAGGATCAAAAGAAGAAACGTGTCAGAAATACATATTATATTAATAAAATTTTTACCAGTATGTTATCATAAGATACTATAGTAGTATCCAAAGGATCTGTGGCTTCTATTTGTAATTTTCTATATTACAGATAATCAAAAATAATATATTAGTATATATAAACAAAATCAAATAATTAATATAAAAGGTTAAGAGAGCCGCAGCTAAAGAGTATAGATGATATGAAAGTAAAAGCCTCTATATCTATATATAAATATTTTATTAAATCATTAAATATGTTATTGTAGAATGACTATTTTATTCCATCATATAAATTAGGAAATTTCTTCGTAGATCTATACCCTTTAACTGCGAATTGCAATTAACCAAGAAATGAAATACCTAAACATGTCATCCATGACTCTAAGCTTATCAAGATCTTCTTGATCAGACACAATCATCGATATTTTACCCGCTTTAGCAATTTCACCTTCTGATGGATCAATAGAAAGGTGTACTTCATTATAATTTATTATTGTTCTCATCTATTGTTTGTTACCAATAAAAATTTCACAAAATGGAAACTAAGCTGTAAACGCAAACAAATAAAGAATAAAATGCATTGTTTAACATACTGGTATTAACCATTTTGAAACTTTGCTCGCCAATAGCAATTCTATGAGTTTATCATTTCTCGAATAATGCTCAAATCCTTTGATATGGATATCAAGACGAGATGTATCACCAATCGTACTAATATTTGCCATTAAATTAGTAAAACAAATAGATTGGGTAGTCGGATTGAGAGAAATTGCACAAGGATAATGGCTGATAAAACTTCCAATGGTGAGTTTTTCGAGGTGTAATGTAATTGATTGTCTATCAGCCTCACCATCGGAATTTTCATCCTCGCTATAAAAAATCATCAATGTATGGATCAACTTGAGTAGTCTGCAAAATAGAATCGTTTTTTGCAGCCGTTTTAAATTCATAAAATTAATTAATCAATTAATAAACTATTTGTCAAGTCGCAAATTAAAGGAACTTGCCTTAGTAGATATTTCAGCAGTGTGCTTGTTTTTACCAATACTAAGAAGATTAAGACGCGGTGTCACTTTATTTATGTCGTTGAGTGACTCTGAATCCATATTCACGATTGATACGCGTGCCATTACGCTACTATCAGATGATCCTTTATCATCCCCTATATAAGAAATGCGCGACATAACATCTCCTGTTCCAATAAAAGAGACACGTGACATAACGTCGCTTCCATTAAGAAAAGTCAAACGCGACATCACATTGCTAGAATTTCTTTTTCTTTTTGGTGATTGCAAGTTCTGGCTTTCAAAAGATATGCGTGTCGTCATATCATCGTTATTTTCAGTGATTTCTACATTTTGAAGAGTTTCTTGAGGAAGATCGAAAACAGGTTTGTATTTGGGTAGAACATGACCTTTACCAGCTCTATACATATCTTCCTGGGTCTTCCCATTATGAACGCTTTCTTTGGGAAGGTCGAAAATAATAGGTTTAAACTTTTGAGAAGTATATGTCAGTTTATCAAATGAATTTAAAGATTTGTTTGATGAAAGTGCACAAAACATTTCACTTTTATCCTGATTTTTTTCCGACGCAAATTTGCGATGAGACTTTCGCTTGTGAAAATCATCGTCGTCATCATCATCATAAGCATCATCGCTTTTGCCTCCTTGGCCATCGATATAGCTTTTAAAAGAAGAAATACTTGACGACTTTTTAAAGAACATTTCGTTTTCATTATTTAAGCAGTATTCGTCCCAAAATGAGCCATGATTTACCATTCCATATTGTTTACTGTTCAATGATTTACAGTGCTCTATTAAGTAAGACTCAGGCGTAGAACTTTCGTCACTTGGGAAATATTGATCTGTTAATTCATCCAAGGACTCTATAGTTTCCTCTTCATAACTGACAGTTTCTTGTTCACCATAAAACTGTATTATATTCATCTTTCATAAATGAGTTATAAAACGTAAAATTCAAGAAAAACAAACATCACAATACATAAAAGAAATATTGAAAAACCATCTCAACATTTTCTTCAATATCGTCTTGATTATCCATAAAAAATTCATTATCCTCATTAAATTCAAAATCTCCAAAAATTTCTGACAAATTGTCAATTTCCATTTTTGAATAAAAAAACAAAAAGGCAGTAAAGAAGATATTGATTCATGAGAAATTGCAAAAATGAAAAAATGTAAGTATGACGAACAATTAAATATTAACATTTAACAGTCAGGGTTGTGTGATGACGTATTTTATTGCCTTTTTTTTTATTGTTATATAGGTATATCTGTGCGTCATTATATACATAAAGTCCCTTTTCAATTAAAGCAAAAGTATATAAATATCGTGTGATATAATATGAAATTACTATATATCATGCAATGATTAAAACTTCTCTATTTCTAAAATCTAGTAACACAATAAGATGAAAAACCAGATTACGTGAATACTCTTCCGACACCTGAACATCTAGGACATAGGTCCTCTATAAATAAGAGACTAACTCTCCCAGATCCTAGAAAAATTTATAATGTGTTATAACAATACAGTAATTTTAATTAATGTGGAGTTTATTTTTTTATTCCTTACCTCGACAATGAGTACATAGTCGCCCTCCAATAACTGGATTACCAGGTGATGTATATATAACATTAGGTACGGCAAAAGACTTCCAACATTGTTGACATTTTGTTCTTTGTCGAATGTATCCCGTATTATTGCAAGTCGAGCAAGTATAGCCTGCCGGATATCGAAGTGTTAAATTACTAGTAGAGGCAGTATTATTTCTTGGAGGAAGTGGTGGCGGATTTGTTGATACTTGCTGGTAAATGACAGGTTGTTGAGTTGTTTGGTAATAACTATTTGACGGCCCAGAATATATGTGAATTGAAGCAGATGGCCGAATTTGTTGTGGTGACTGATACGGTGTAGTTTCGAAAGCACGGGAAAGGCCAAAGGCCATAGATTGCTCTCCTGAATTTGGAAAGGGTGAATATGCTGGTGGAGCTTCTTCAGTTATTATGTCATGCATGGTAGTTGAAGAAGAATTGTTACTAGGTTGTTGAGACATTGTTTAAATTACTTGCAAAATTTTAATTATATTAAGATTTGTCGTTTGAATTTTATTGTTTGTTAAATATGACTTGGGTTAACTGTTAACGTTTTGAATTAACGTTTTGAATTAGCATAAAGTGATCTGTCACACAACTTAGTTTATCACTGATGTTACATATAATTATACCAATAGAATTCCTACGCATTTTTTTTAATCGAAAATTTTGATTTTTTTTGATTTAGCTTTCAGTTCAGTTTTTTAAAAAAGAAGTTGAAATGTTAGAAGAATACGCAGGCGCCATAGGGATCGACCTGGGTACAACGTACTCTTGTGTTGCCGTGTGGGAGAATGAGCGCGTTGGTAAGACAAACCGACGTAAAAAAAAATATTCTCCTAAATAGAACAGACATTATTTAAATTCTGTATTTATGCTGGATAGAAATTATCGCTAACGAACAAGGGAATCGTACAACGCCCTCTTATGTGGCTTTTGCCGATACTGAACGTCTTATTGGAGATGCAGCTAAAAATCAGGCGGCAATGAACCCCCAAAATACAGTATTTGACGCGAAGCGACTAATAGGTCGTCGTTTTGATGATCCTGAAGTAAAAGCTGATATGAAACATTGGCCTTTTACTGTTATCGATAAAGATGGAGCACCATTAATTCAAGTTGAATATCAAGGTGAACAAAAAAATTATACTCCTCAAGAAATATCGGCAGCGGTATTGACTCGTATGAAGGTGATCATTATTACTATTTTTATTAACACATTCGTGTTACCTTCGATTTATGGTTTATATTCTTCGATTAAACTATTATTTCTAATAGGAAATTGCTGAAGGAAAGCTTGGGAAAAAAGTTAAAAAAGCCGTGATCACAGTTCCAGCGTATTTTAATGACTCTCAACGTTTAGGTATAAAACTTAAATTTTTGGGATAATATATTATTTAATATACAATATGTTAATTTTTCAATTAATGTTTAATAGCAACAAGAGATGCTGGTACAATCGCAGGTCTTGATGTACTCCGAATAATCAATGAACCTACAGCAGCGGCAATTGCCTATGGCCTTGATTCTAAAGAGAGCCAAGAAAAAAATGTACTTATTTTCGACCTTGGGGGTGGGACTTTTGATGTTTCTCTCTTAACGATATCGGGTGGAGTATTTGCAGTCAAAAGTACTGCAGGCGATACCCATCTTGGAGGAGAGGATTTTGATAATAACCTTCTTGAATATTTTAAGCAAGAGTTCAAACGTAAGCATAAGAATGACATTTCTGATGATGCTCGTGCCATACGCCGTCTAAGAACTGCATGCGAACGTGCAAAACGAGCATTATCTTCAACAACTCAAACAAATGTGGAAGTTGATTCATTGTATGATGGTATCGATTTTCAAGCTACTATAACTCGTGCCAAATTCGAAGAATTAAATTCTGCACAATTTAATTCCACCTTGGAACCAGTTCGAAAAGTTCTAAAAGACGCAAAAATGGAAAAAAAGGACATTAATGAGATTGTTCTTGTTGGTGGATCTACTCGTATTCCTAAAATTCAATCTCTTCTTCAAGACTTTTTTGATGGAAAAGAATTAAACAAATCGATTAATCCAGATGAAGCAGTTGCTTATGGAGCTGCAGTGCAAGCTGCTCTTCTCACTAATCAAGCAGGCAATGAGAAAACTCAGGATCTCTTACTTTTGGATGTTGTACCGCTTAGCTTAGGAGTTGAAACTCAAGGTGGGGTAATGGCTGTTGTTGTTCCCCGAAATTCACCAATTCCTACCCTTAAAAAAAAGGTATTCACTACCGCTGAGGATGGACAAACAATTGTTGAATTTCCTGTATACGAAGGAGAACGACCAATGTGTCAAGATAACAACCTTCTAGGATCTTTCGAATTGTCTGGAATCCCTCCAATGCCGCGTGGAGAAGCTGAACTTGAATGCACTTTTGACATTAATGCGGATGGCATACTTAAGGTCACTGCAAAAGATAGAGCAACTGGCCGTAAAGCTAATATTACTATTTCAAATTCTGCTGGACGGTTATCTGCAGCGGATATTGAACGCATGGTCACTGAATCAGAAAAATTTAAAGAAGATGACAAGAAATGTCAGGAGCGAGTTGAAGCCAAGCAAGAACTCGAGAACTACGTCTACCAAGTACGTATATATTTTCAGTATTTATTATGCAAAATAATGTGCAATTGTATGTATTTTTCTTTTTTTTTTTTTTAATATGCAGATTGAAAATACGCTCAATGAGCCTAATGTTGCAATGAAATTAAAACGAAATGATAAGGAAGCAATTGAAAATGCCCTTTCAGGTTCGAATACATGTTATTGTTTGAAATCAATGATTCAAAATTTAATCATCATTTATTTTTACAGAGGCACTCGAATTTCTTGACCTTGCTAATGATGCGTCCATCAATAAAGAAGAAATTAATGCCACTAGAAAGAAATTACAACGTAGTGTTACCCGTGCATTCGCATCACTTAATCGTTGATAGATTGTGCTTAATATTTTTAATAATATTGCAAATGTATATTTTATTCGATAAAAAAAAACTCACATTTGAATTGACAAGGCTACATTCTACCAAAAAAATAATAGAGTAGCCATCTCTAAATATTGTAATAACTTTCGTGATTAGTGATATAATTCTTAGAGGAAATTAATGTCATCTGTCTTGTGAAACTACGACTTGTTTTTACTGAATAATAAATGGCCAATCATTCTGGCAAACATGTATATAAACACAAAAATTTGCGGTTGGTGATACCATTAGAAAGGTATAATTATATTGTACAATAATTAACTAAATTATACGTAAACTCCAACGGCCATTGACAAGAACATACATCCAACTCCCAACAAAAAAGAAGCTATGGTCGCAGACGTAATTTCATTCACTAAAGATTTTCGAGCCGGGATTCTATAATATTTTGTATTATTAAGGAAATGCTAAAATAAAACAATGCTTAAAAATAAATTTGTGAAATGTATCATAACATCTATTATAGTTTGAAAAGAAAAAATATAGATGCCACTTTCACAATATAAAAGGATACACAGAAAACGCGCTACTTGCTATAAATCCCAATACTAACAGTAAGAAAGCTATTACTGGGAATAAGTCCTTTATAACCGGTGGGGTAAATGGGGCTGACTCTTGCCAATCTGTCTATTTTTCTTTGAAATTAATTAAATTAAAAATAAAACGAAATAAAGAATGAAAATTGAAAAAAACTCACCAGATATGACATCTTTTTAAACCGAAACGACGAAACTAATGACCTTTGGTTATTTATGTAAAAAAATGATTGGCTGTTCGCTGCTAAAATTAGATTAAGGATAATATAACGATAACCTTTAATGGAAGTGCTACAATAATTTTTTAACTTTACACGTGGCTCAATAATAACCACTTGTATATTGAGATTAAAATGACGATAACAATGATAACGATAACGATAATAATTCGACTATAAATTTGCAAGTCGTTTGATCGAAGGGTCTCTGGTCAAATTGTTCAGGTCTATTTTAATATAACGAACCCTCCTTTAACGAACTCTGGATATAATGGACTCAAAATTTTGAAATTTCATAATAGTTCGGTATAAAAGTGGCATGGGTTCTTAAGAAAACATAGTAATTTCCTATAACGAACATTTTTTTCTTCCAGAATCTTCAGTTCGTTATAGAAAGAGTTGACCGTATACCGCTTAGTAAACACTTGGACTA